ATGCTTTACTAGCAGACAAGTTTGCATAACCACTAGGCTGTTAACCTTGGCTTTCTTCAATTTTGTAGGTTGCGTAGCAAGTACCACAACACTTTAGGACTTAATGTAGGTTGTTCTACGCTCGGCAGTGGTGAAGCTTATCGACTACATATCATGTTGGCAGTGATTAAGGCTTCGTACATGCACGCTAGCTTGTTTAACCTTTCACAAGAATGTGCAGTTTTATAAGTCTAGTGCGCTTTACTGCTCGAAGGGTAAGTCGTAGGTAGTCTTCCGAAAACCGTAGGCTACCTTAGTGCACTCGGTAGTAGCTTTGCCATCCATAGGGCGTACTACGTAATGTGCCCCATTCGTCTCTAGGGCCTGGTTCCCCACAAATTAGGCCAAGAGACCCAAAATCCTTCAGTTAGCTAAGCTTTGAAAAAGACCATTATGGCTACTTCTAGGAATCCCGGCGCAAGCCATCGTGCATCTAGTTATATTAGGGCAGCCCGGCTCACCCACGTCTGGATATTCAGAATGTAGAGTTTATCCTCCCGCTTTGGAAAGCAGACCCATGTTGGTGTCAAGGAATTAGTTTACCCTCTTAGACTGGAGAGCATGGTTGGTCCTTCAGGGGGTGTAATTCCTGTGGTGAGTCTCTAAGAAGGGCGCGATCTTCTTTCGAAGTGCATGAGAGATAAGTTATTGTAGACATGTAGTCAAGCCAAGTTGTAAATTACTTATGAATTCCTTATTGAAAAATGAGCGAAATGAACGAATAACTTAACTGTAAAGATTGCATAACAACTGGATAGTCTTCAGTTAGCGAGGTGGTACCCGTTGAGCTACTTGAGTTTTCGAGTCTTGATATAGTGGCAAGTTACATATGGTACTTCCTTAGGTTGTAGGTATTCTATTGCTTCTCGATCTTTTTGTCGTTCATGGTGACGAGGGTGTAACTACCCTTACAGCCTACTCTGTTGATCTTGTATGAACTTTCCCAGATGAGATTTATCTTTGTGGGTCTTCTCTGTGGGTAGTGATGAAGGTTTTTCTTAAGACTAGATCTCAGGGTTGGAATTGTCAGATCTTGACCCTTTTATTGTAGTTGGAGATGAGTTACTACTGGTAGGCTGCGATGCGCTGCTCGCGCTTCTCCTCTACTAGATCTAAACTTGTAGCCATCTCCTTACTGTTCTGCTCAATGCTTGGCAGTAGTGTGTTGATGCTCGACATGATAATGTTAGGAGGAATGATTGCTTTCGAACCAAATGCTAAAGAGAAATGAGTCTCACCGGTTGCTCATCTTTTGGTGATGCGATATGCCTATAGACATCCAGGAAGTTCGTTTGGCCATTTTCCCTTCTTGTCAGTGAGGGATTCTTGAGGCAGTCGAGGATCGTCTTGTTGGATGCTTGGGCTTGCCCATTGCCTTAAGGATATCTTGGCGTGGACATGTGCTGCTTGATGCCATACTTTTGGAAAAACTTCGCCAAATCTTTGCCCACAAATTGCTGGCAGTTGTCAGTGATAATGGACTGAGAGATGTCAAATTGGCAAATGATGTTTCTCCATATGAAGGGCTCTATGTCTGTTTGAGTCATGGTCATCATGGGCTCTGCTTCTACCCATTTTGTGAAGTAATCGATTGCCACAATCATCATGCTTCTACCCCCAGTAGCAGGCGGCATAAGTCCTACCAGGTCGATTGCCCACTGCATGAATGGCTGAGGACTCGTTTGAGGGTGCAATTTGCTGGCAGGCACTGTTGGTTCCGGCTTGTAGCGTTGGTAGCGGTTGCACTTTTGTACTAACTCCTTAGCATCTTGGTGCATGGTAGATCAGGTAGTCTATAATAGAACTTTGCCAGTTGGGAGTTTTACTAACCTGTGACACCTCGGTTGCCGGCTCTGCCTCTATGCTTGGTTTGTCTAGATACTTCATCGGAATAGAGCATTTGAGTTGGTGGTCGAGGACGGAGCCTAGGCAGGCTAGCGTGTCCGTGTGAGTGTTGTTTACTTGCGGAACTTAAGTGAGAATGTAAGTCTGAAATGCCTCAAGTTGCTTACGTACCTTCTCTAGGTATTGCGCTATCCTTGGATGTTTCGCCGTGTACTCCCAATAGTTTGGCTGATGATTAGCTGGGAATCAAAATGAATTGCGAGCTTCTTTACTTTATAGCTTCATCCCTCATTAGGATTTTCAATGAGGCAAAGAAGGAGAAACACAAACTCTCTCATTCCTTAGATAGGGTAGCCACCATGGAGAACATTGATAGCATTTTGTTCTTCCATTGTTACTCATTGTGTTCAAAGGTATAATGTTTCTAAACTCTCTTTGTGTTTAAAGTTGAGTCTTGGTTCACCACTACTACTAGGCTTTGAATTTCGTAGTTTAAGTTTTGTTTTAGAGTGCATACAAGCATGCTTCTGCCATTTAATTGTCAAATGTATGTATTGTGTTCTCAATGAACTTAGTTTATCAAATATTCGCCTTCATAGAATTCATGCAACACAGTGGACCATTTTAGTCTGGGTCCATTTCATTTTCAATCAACATCCTAAAGCCCACCAACGGTTAAACATCTTTGATTATTAGGTTTAAAATCTGTGAGTATCCACCTGGATTCATTTATGTTTGACTTGCAAATTTAGAGCCTTAGTAGTTTAGCGCCGTCTGTAGGAAATGCATACAATTTGGTTTTTTTTTTATACCCAGCTCATCCAAGACACACTTTGCTGCAAGGAAGAATCAGCCTGCTAGATATCATGACGAACCAGAGAAGGAAAAATGATGCTCAACCTATTTGTAGCCGTGGGGCCAATGAGACAAAATGAGCAGTGGGGGGGAGCTCTATATCATACTCGAGCGCTCGACGGAATTTATCTCCCTCCAACTAAAAGACAACAACGCCCGACCTAAGAGATGACGAGATCCGAGAATACCCGAACTCATGAAAGAATTGAAAAACTATTGTGCTGTCAGAAGAATGTTCGACCAGGACTGTCATGATCAGCACAAAGTTAACTACGAAAGTTTGAGCGGAGTTGATAAAATTGTCAAGGGCCAATGCTAATGTATTTGCCTATCGTATGGAGATATGCTTGGAATAGATCCGAGTGTTATCTCTCATAAGTTCAGTATTGATCCACATTGCATGCCTATTCGGCATAAACAACGGTCTTATGCAAAACGTTATGAGGCCATGTAGGTTGACGTAGACAAACTGCTTAGCATCGGTTTCCTCATAAAGGTAGATTACTCGCGGTGGGTGGCGAATGTAATGATGGTAAAAAAAAAGCAACGATAGTTAAGAAACCGACCAAATTGCGCATGTGTACAGACTACATGAATTTCAATGGTATTTTCAAAGAACTATTTCCCGCTGCCAAGTATCGATCGGCTCTTGGATGCTACGACGGGATGCGAACTTTTAACTTTCCTAAATGCTTTATCGGTGAACAACCAGATCTACATGCACTCGACCAACTAAGACAATACAACGTGTAGGGAAGACGATGGATGTTTATATGGACGACATGCTTGTGAAGAGGAGAAAAGAAAGCTAGCATGTGGCAGAATTGACTGAAGTGTTTAACATCCTCAACATATATGGGATGAAGTTGAATCCTGTAATGCGCCTTGGCGGTCGGCTCAGGGAAGTTTTTGGGGTTTATGGTAAGCTAAACAGGGATAGAGGTCAACCCATAAAAGATATAGGCCCTCATCAATATGGCACCACCATGAACAAAGAAGGAGATCTAGAGCCTCATCGGATGAGTAGCGGCCTTAAGCCAGTTCGTCTCAAGATCAACAGACCGGTGCCTACTTTTTTTCAATGCACTCCGCGGAGCTATGTGAACGATTGAATGGACGGAGGAATGTCAACAGGCATTCAACAAACTAAAGGAGCACATCGGCTGAGCGCCAATCCTGTCAAAACCTTGGAACGGTTAGTCGCTCTACGTCAAATCCTTGGTTATTAGTAACACAAAATATAGGAATGGTAGCCCTTTCTTAGAAATTCATTCAATGTACGTAAAGATGCCTTTATTACATAAAAATTGAAATGTAAACAAAAGTTTGCAACAATTGGACAAGAAACCAAGCATGTGCAGTAGTTGAGAAGCACATATGCCACTTGCGCTAAATACATAGCATGTTAGTTTTCTACAAGATAACTATATATACACATACATGTCAAAAGGAAAAATCGGGGCCTTGTGCAGTTGCATACCCTTGAGACCGACCTTGGGGTACATGAAGATTGATTTATGTGCGCTGTCATTTTTGTTTTCAATTTTGAGTATTTATTTCAACGATTATGCCAATTTGGTCGGTAATGAAATATAATAATGTGAGACATCAAGGTTTCCTCTAATGGAGATGCCATAATTGACGTGGCAGTTGAGTTATTTGACTCCTTACTTTCTGGTTGTTTTTTTTTTTACAATAAACAAAGATGGAGTCAAATGCCTTTAATTTATTTTTTTAAGCATGGGTTCCATTGACAACTAATAGGATGAAAACTAAAATCAATTTGAATTATTTTTTATTACTTAATGTAACTATGAGGCCCAAAATATTAATAAAATAAATATTTGACAAATCTATTAGAAATGAAGAAAATTTAACACCTATATTCAATTGGCCAAACTCGGAGTCAAATTCCTTAACAGCAACTAGGATTCTCATTTTATTTTATTTGTCCCTCTAAACACATACATTATATATGGTTTATATTTTGAATCGTTTACAAGTTTTGTATGGATAATTGGTTTTATAATGTAGGTTCTAGTGGAACTTAGCTAAGCTAATTACGAAAAGTTGGTAACCTCAAACTCAACTTTTTTACTAACGGTAATTGCGCGCGAGGGTAATGAAGGAACTTCAATCAATCAGCTTGGAAACACGTTTGATAATTTCTTGAATTTGTAAAACGTCCAAGGAATTAGATTTGAAGTTATTTTCCTCAAATATAAGTCTGAACAATTTGAAGTGAGTGATAATTCATATACACACCAAAAGGAAATGTAGACATCTCAAATTATTCAAATAAACATTACATTACATAAAGTAGCAGCTACATACCATGATAACATACTCAGGAAGACAATTACATAAGCATACTAGTCTGCATTAATTAGGCATCAAGTATCACCATGCATGATGCATGAGCTAACTAGGTTGCTCTTTATTCTAGATATTACAACATACTACTCTGAACTTATTAGACTAGCCAACATCACACTTAAAGTAGTAAAGGGAAAGAGACCGAGAACTTAGTGATGTGCAGTAGGACCATCAGTGTGGCAACACTTGTAACTGATGAAAGTCTCCATGCCCCGGTGGCAATCAGGACACTTCATGGTGTCTGGAACCTTCCCGGTAGAGCCCGGAATATCAAGGCGGCAGCAAGGTAGATTCGCAGCGCGAACCCTCTCAAGGTATGACTTGAAGCAAAACTCAAAGCCTCTCTCTTTCACATGGTCCTTCCATTTGTCAAAGTCCTCTACCACCCTCAAGATCGAGACACCGTGGCCGGTGAGCACCACAGAATGCCCTTTGCTGAGCACAGCCCATCCACTTTCGTTTTTGTAAGAAAGTAGCTTCTGGATTTCTTGACCGACTTGGTCGGCTGGCTTGTGAACCTTGGTGAAGAACAAGCTTTCGATGCCAGTCCAGAACTTACCGAGGATGCCATGGTCATCTTCTCCCTTGCTTCCTTTTCCCACGCAGAACAATTCGATGTGAATCTTTGCTTCCTTGAAGATGGGATCATTTGCAAAGGCAGTTGCTTTCTTTGTGAACTCTTGAATCCAACCATTGTCTTTGCCACCATAGAAGAAAATGTACTTGTCCTCTTTGATCTGTTTGACCAAGACATAGTTAGATCAACCACACAAAATTAACTAACGAAATGTATTCTACAATTTATACTAATTTATATTAAGAGGAGGGTTGCATCTTGTACAATTTTACACTTCTCCACCAATTATACTATGTCTCGTTATTTTATACCTCTCGCCAAAAATATGTTTCGTTATTATTACACCTTTATTAAAGAGGTGGTACAGTAAGTGGAGTTAAAATAACATGTTTTTTGTATCTACTCTTATATATATGAGATTAAGTTGAATTAGGGAAGTGGTTAATAATGTGATAAGTAAATGTAATCGAAAGAGCGGTTCTCGTATTTAAACAGTTAAAAGGGAAATTACCGTAACAGATTGGCTAACCCCTTGGACAACAGTGCCAATCCATTTATCTCCGTGAACATGTGAGAGCTCTTCTTCAGTTGCCTTTGTGAAAGGGAAAGCATTGGCTCCCCAAACCCTAATCATGTGGAGAGCGTTGGGATGTTCGACCTTTCCTTGTGGGTTCATCACCACTAGTGTGGGCTTACCCTTGAAGCTCCACTCCTCCTTGATGAACCTGATGCCTGCTACAGGTGCCGAGATCTGCACTGTGTACCATGGCATCTTATTTCGGAGGCTCTCAAACTTCTTTCGGAGGTCATCCGTCCAATGCTCCACAATCGGAATCCACACAATCTTGTGCTGATTGTCCTTCTTTATCATATCATAGATGGGCTTGAGGATTGAGATATCATCATCAGAGATGTCTAGGCTTGAAATGAACAACAACACATTCTTCTTCCTCAGGATATCGATTTTAACCTGTTTAAATGAATTATGCACGTTGTAAGTAATTACTAGGTAGCAATTTGACTAACAGAAAAATCATGTCACCAAAAACTGATTTTCTTTGCTAATACCCCTCAATAAAGGTGTGTCTCACATACAATAGTTGCACTCACCTTTATTTATAGAGTGAGTTCATAATGATGTTTATTTTACGTGTCTAAATAGCACTATGATTGACTAATCACATAGGGGCTCAGTATAAAAACTGAATTTTATATTCAAACATTCATATTAAAGACTAATATTCCACATGACATGTTAGGGTTCCAATTAAATTAGTCATGCCAAGAAAATTACGTTGGAAATTTTGTATGACAAAAAAGTACTCCTAAGCAACTTTACTGCCATCTTTTTCTATGGTACGTTACTGTCATATTATTAACTTTAATTTGCCTTGCAGCAACCTAGTGCCAGCGGTAAAAATAATTCAATTACACATTATAGTACTGTGACTAGAACAAACCATTTGTTTAGTAGAACCATCAACGAGCGGCTGGACATTTTCCTTGGTAAAAATCAGGGCCTTGAAAACCTCCATGATTTCAGTAGGAGTTTGGAAGATTTTCCTTAGCCTCCGGTAAGTCTCTGCCTCCTCTGCATGCTTGAAACAAAAATTATCTTGAGCATTTCATTTGTGCAAGTACGGAAAATAATTCCAAATGAAATATCTCCATTTAACCCACCAATTTGTTTTCTGCAGACAATAAGCTGGATCTTAAGCTTGTTTAGGACATAGTGAATTTTTTGAGCAAATGGGGCTAGATCATGCTCCTTGTCCCTAAAACGAAAGCAACCATGGTCATATTATTAACTACTAAACAAATAATTTTTATTTGCCAGACCAATGCTAAATTAAGTTGTTAGGCTGTGAATTTGGATTACGAAACTTCAACCAGATGCACGGTCTGGCAAAAGAGCGATTTCCTAAAGGTCAATGGAGAACTCACTCATTACTGGTGAGGATGGTGATCTTAGTTGCACAAGCAACAACAGTGGCAATAGCCCAGTACACATCAACTGGAATATGGTCCATTGCTATCGCCAACCCTGGGACATCTTTTGGGTCGTAGCTGGAAAGCTTGTCGAATTGGTCGATGCACTCACTCACTTGCAATGTGGCCTTGATCAAATTGTTAAGTTCAAGCACTGCTTGTCTTTTCTTGTGCAGGTCCGAGGGCTTGAGGAGCACGGGGACTCGCTTCAGGATTGCAATTGATTTGGCGAGTCGGTCTGATTCTTGAAGCTGGGCGAGGAGCCAGAACTCCCCGTATTCCATGGCAAAAGCTGCTAGAGTCAGCACTGCCTTGGCTTCCCATGAATAGCTTGATAGCTTGTTCAGTATGGACAGGGTTGTGTTGTGGGCAACTTCCTCACTAGGAGGCTTGCATTGCATCTGAAATTTTAAGATTAACCATGATAGTGTGAATATTCAAGAATATACAAGAAATTTTACAAGAAATATACATATCATTATGTGTGTGTGTGTGTATTTAATTTCCCAGGTAATGACCTCGCTGGCTATGGACTTTAGTGTGCACAGTGGTGTAATGAAGCCTGCTTTGGGTGTCTTCTCCTCTATGTTCTCCACGTGCACTTGGGTACCCTGAAACAAGGCGCAAGTAACATAGAAGTGAGTTAAGTGCACGAGTACTGATTTCTTAGATAAAAAAACATATTATGTTATTGTGTTATAAAATAGTCTCGTAAATATTCCATCACTTCTCAAAAAAAAGAAAAAGACAAAAAGAGCATGTTATATTATTTGCTTGTCGGTTAAAATTAGTGACATAATTTTGGTATACTATAATAATGATTTGACAGTTTAATAATCGTGCATACGTTGCATGTAAGCTACAAAGATATACCTGCACAATTTTGTCAACAATTTGGGTAGCACGCTTAAGGATATTTTCGGTGATGCCGAAAAGAGAATCATCATCAAAGGATTCATCAGCATGAACATGAGTACCATAAATTTGTTCCAAGATTTTCTGGTCAGACATGGTAAACAGGCTAAGCTCATGATCGCCAGTAATGTGTTGATGAGTAGTGGTAACTACTGAGGCCACCTTGGTAGCCACATTGTTTGCTAGACCTAGCATGGTGACTCTTTTGGGGATTTGAAGGCAGGGAAAGAGAGAATACGATGGCTTCTGGGTAATTGTATTTGGCTTGTGTGGGTGCAACACCTGCAATATGCCCGCCCTATTTATAACCTAACTGAGCTTGCACACTATCCTCAAAGTGGGGACCATTTCTACACGATGTTGCCACGTGAAGGGTGCGGATTGAAGATCAGAACAATTAACATGTGAATAATGAATATGGTTCAAGTTCTGTGTTCATTGTTATCTGAACATGAAGTTATATACTGAAACAGAAACAAATAATAAAGTGAAAACTGAAATGTAGATTATATAATGGCCATCGAAATTTTACAACCTCAGTATTGGTGTAATACATAGAAGAACGGGATTTAATCTGAAAATGAGGACGCCATTTGCATGTCGGCTGTCTTGAGAGGTTTAAATTCCTTTTTGAATGTTATTTATTTATTTTTTAGCTAAATAAATAAATTCATGTAAGAAAAATAGTACGATAAATTTGAGGCAATATACATATAGAGAGAATTTATTATGATCTTTTTTTCATTCTTTGGATTTCAATGGATACAAATAATTGATGTATTTTCCTACTTAGGTTAACAAATTGCCTTTCGTTTTTTGTAGTATTACATGGAAATTATTTTATTTTATACTTTTTAGTAAGCATAATACTTTATGATTTTTTTGCAACTCTTGGAGTAGTATTACATGGAAATTGTTTTTATTTTATACTTTTTAGTAAGCATAATACTTGAGGATATTTTTTGTAATTCAGTTTGACCAATGTCAGTGTTTATTTTAAAGAAGTTACAAAAATAAATAAACACAACATACCATATATGAATAAGTATTTGCACGTTATATGCATGTTCATTTCCTCCTTTCTATATAACAGAACAAAAACAACTTTGGAGACGAGCATATTTGTCTCGTAAGGAAGGAGTTCGCCGCGAAGGATTTAAGGCGAAAGAGTCCCGTTGGACAAAATTAGTTACGCAAAACTCGTCACAAGACACTTTTGCTGACGAAAATAAATATTCGTCGGGCAATATAAACTCACCCCATGAACGTTCATCGAGTAAGTGTGCATTGACCATTGAGTCCTGACGAAAATGTTTTGACCCGACAAAAATACGTCGTCGTGCAAAAATTAAATTTTATTTAAAATTATTTTAGTCCAGTTTGTCTGACGAACTTCTTGTCGGGCTAGTGATGCTTTGGATTAAAAAATATTTACTTGAAATATTTGACCAACGGAGTGTGTAGCTGGGGGATGAGTGTTAATTAAGTTCATTGAACAATTAGGTATTAAATATTCTACATACGTTCACGACTCTTCAACATTAGGTTCATGTATGAAAGAGTACAAATGATATGTATGTATAATTAATCCATATATTTGTATTTACTATATATTGTACATTTGAGGATGAATAAAAGAAAAGTTGAGCCAAATACGTTTTTGTACAAAGCAAGAATGAAAAAGGAAAAATTAGTATCCGGTTCTTAGTTACTAATGTTCATTGACTGAAACTTTATTAATTTTTAGATTTTGATCCAAGTCCCTAACATTAATGTAATAATGAATTTACATGTCAGTTACATAATTTTTTTTTAAAAAAATTAATAATTGATTTAGAATTTTAATACTCACACCTTTATTAAACTCCTAACTATTTTTCAATTCAAAACATTTCCAAAATAAATAAAAAATTATATGTACCCATTCATGTAACTTTTTCAATTTTTTTATCTTAAAATGTACTTGTCACATCCCGGCCCGGGGCGGATCACTTCCCGGGCCCACTCCACCACCGTAGCACGATATTGTCTGCTTTGGGCTTACCATTCCCTCACGGTTTTGTTTTTGGGAACTCACGAGCAACTTCCCAGTGGGTCACCCATCATGGGATTGCTCTAGCCCCCTTCTCGCTTAACTTCGGAGTTCCCATGGAACCCGAAGCCAGTGAGCTCCCAAAAGGCCTCGTGCTAGGTAGGGATGGGAATATATATATATAAGGATCACTCCCCTGGGCGATGTGGGATGTCACAATCCACCCCCTTAGGGGCCCGACGTCCTCGTCGGCACACACGCGACCAGGATTAGGCTCTGATACCAAATTGTCACATCCCGGCCCGGGGCGGATCACTTCCCGGGTCCGCTCCACCACCGTAGCACGATATTGTCCGCTTTGGGCTTACCATTCCCTCACGGTTTTGTTTTTGGGAACTCACGAGCAACTTCCCAGTGGGTCACCCATCATGGGATTGCTCTAGCCCCCTTCTTGCTTAACTTCGGAGTTCCTACTGAACCCGAAGCCAGTGAGCTCCCAAAAGGCCTCGTGCTAGGTAGGGATGAGAATATACATTTAAGGATCGCTCCCCTGGGCGATGTAGGATGTCACAGTACTCATTATTAAATATACCAATTTGTTATATGTAAAATGCACCCTTTTTTTTTTTAATATAAAATCTATTCAATTTTTTTTTCTAATCCATTTTTAAACTTATATGGGTACATTCTTTTTTTCTTTGATTTGAGAATGTATCCATATCAAGTTTAATCAAAGAAATTTACTAATGTTATTAAGCCTAATATCCTTTTTTTTTTTTTTGGGGGGGTGATTTTAAAGAATGCACCCATGTTTATATATGTACGCGCGCATACACACACACAATAGTATATTTATATTTTAATATTTTTAATCCCACCAATTCTGGTTTTTATTTAAAATCTCATTAATATAAACAACTATAAATTTTAATTTTTAATTTAAAAAATATAGTAACATACATAGAAATAAATTATCACATTAATTTTAGGGATTTCAATAAAAAATTGAAAATCAACAAGGTTTTAATCAAAGAATATTCATATTAGGGACTACATCCAAAGTCTCTAAATGAAAAATCATGAGGTCTAGCGGTTCCATTCTTTTGATTTTGTGGTCATTTCAAAATTGCCTATTTCTTCATCCCATTGTATCACTGCATTCATCTAGCGCTCTATTTCATATCAGTGTCCTCGTTAAATATCTATGAGAAGCAAGCGATGAGGACAGGAAATATGTGCACCACGTTTTGGATCTGAATGCATACAGTGTGAAATCAAGACATTAATTAATTTGTTTTCATGTACGTAAAGTGTTGGAAGAGAAAATGCAAGGCTGAAATGCGCTGCTTCCACTAATCCATAATCTTCCTTGTGTTCGTGCCACCTGGCCTTGCCATCTCGTCTCTACCAAAATTGGTGCAAACTGGTGAAATGATGTTATCCCTTTGTATGGTCTTTTTGGCCCAAAGGTAGTCTTGGTACCCTTTGTCACAATGCCATCTCGTCTCCACGTTCATAACGCGTGTACGGATATGACCTAAAATCAGAAGGTGAAAGTGATACAACAGGCTATAATTTTTACCCTTTTTCAGTTTTCACATGCTTACTGATAAGGATATGGGTAAAGGACAAAGATAGGTAAGGTGTGAAACTAAAACTGGAAAGACCGTTGAGGTTTGACTCATGTTATATGATGAGGTCTGGAAATCATGTTGCTCGAATACCACACATTTGTTCGACTACTGAAAATTGTCCGTTGGTTCTTAAATAGACTCTTGGATTAAATTTAAGACGAATTTATAAAAGAAAGTTAAACTTCAATGGTGTGTTCTTTATCTTGCTCCTACTATGACAAAGACTTATAGAAACTCTTAACATGATATAAACCAAAGTTGAAAGATGCCCACTACTCAATAACTCATCATAATGGGACATGATACCTAGAGAAATATTATCATTGAAATTTAAGGGTTGTTTAGAGATAACCTTTTGCAATACTTATTTCTAGACAAAAACTCATCGCATTTTAAACCTCCAAATAAAACTCGAATTTGAAATTAATTGCCAAGTAGACAAATAAGTGACCTACTATTACCAAAATATTGACAAATGTGTCGCAACACACTGATTATGTTAACGAATTTAATTATCCACCATAATTATGGCAAATAAGTGCCTTATTATTACAAAATTATCCACTCATGACGAGGACTGATTGAACTGATTCTGCAAAAATAGTCAATAACGGATTGGACTGATTCTAGTAATAAAGGATACAAACTAATTCTACATATAATTTGAAAACTGATTCTGCAAAAACAGTCAATAACGGATTGGACTGATTCTAGTAATAAAGGATACAAACTAATTCTACATATAGTTTGAAAACTGATTCTATAGAAATAGTCGAGGATGGGTTGAGCTTATGGCACATATTGATTTTGTTGGAGTTGTGAGGGCTAGGCTCTAGTAACTGTCTTAAAGTCTTAGAGGTATGGCTGATATTCTAAAACATAGCTTCCATGTTTTTGGGCTGGGCTTTAGTTATTTTTTTGTTTTGTCTCTTCTTAACATGTTTAAAAACTAGTGGAGGTCCTTGAAAGTTGATATGTAGTTAAAGTTTTTGTCTCTATATATAAAGCTCCCATTAATATCCAAGATTTATTGTAATTGTTAATTTGTAACATTAATGCCCTTTTCTCCTTATTTTTTTCTTTTGCAAAATCATTAATCCCGCCTCTTACAATCTGCATAGAATTAATTGTGTATATCATATAGGCCTAGCAAACGGGTCGTGTCTGTCATGTTTGCGTCATTTTCGTGTAACACCTGTTATCTTAACGGGTCGTGTCGTGTCACATCCATTATCTTAATGGGTCCTTAACAGGTCGGGTCATTTTACCCGTTATGACCCGTTAAGAAATTTTTTTTTTCTTAAATTTGCACATACCACACATTGCCACATAAATATTACTTCAAAACATTAAAGCACACTTGTCATTTAAGTACTACATCTACATGCGAAAATAAGAGCCTCATAAAAAAAACATCCATACACTACTAGTCTATTACAAAATATTAAATGTGCAAGGATATGCAAAATGAAAGAGTTTTTGTTTTCAAGGTTGTGAAGCCTTTCTCAAAAGTTTAAACCTTGCCAATGGAAATTGTATTGGAACTTTGGTTTGATCTATTGCCTTCAAGAGTTATGTTGATGATATTTTCAAT